TACGAACACTTACGAATAAATTTAAATATCATTGATATTTTAACATCGTATGGTTCATTCATCAAAGGTATTCATTCAAATTATTATTATTATATATATATTCATTTAAATTATTATCTGTTATTCGCTATCTACTACATGTTATTCGCTATCCGTTAAATTTTAACTGTTATACCAAATAGACTCTAAAAAATAGAAAATTTTTCTTTAATCTTTTCTCTTTGTATGTTTGGAGCAATTAGACAAATAAAAATATTTAAATTATAAATAATAACAATTATATACTCCATATCCTAAAAGTTATCTATAATCTGGTGCTTTTGAATCGTTAATATAAATACCTTTATATATGGGGAAAAGAATTTTATAAGTTATCTTTTTAAATTTTTTTGGAAGAGATGTTTAAAAATTTATTTTTTAATTAATACTTTTAAAAACCAACCGTTGAATTGAAAGCTCTATTTAAATAAATTATCTATATAAAATTTTAAGTTATTTTAATAAGTTTAACCACTTTATTAATTATAAAAAATTTAATATTATTAAATATATATTAGCAAATAAAATTTCATTAATTAAAAGGTTATAAGTATTAAAATAATATAAAAATTAACATACATAACGATCTATAAGACAATAAAACTTTCAATACAATGATCAATTTTTAAATATATTAATTAAAAAGTAGTTTTTAAATAGATTCTCCAAAAAGAATTTTAGGAGGACGTCCAACCTATACTACCTTCTTACTTATATATATAGTCATAACATTCGAAGAATATGACTATTTAGTCTCAAAACTGTAAAATATTTACAATTGCATCCATAAACAAATTTTTTTTCTTTTTGATCTTGGGTTACACCATAAAATGCAACTTTCTCTCATCTTTTAACTTATCTCACTCATATGCCATACAATTTGAACTTAAAATCTGTTACTTTCTATGAAAAAAGATTACCACTAATTTAATTAGATTATTGATATAAACAAAACATTCTTCACATTACATTTTTTAATAAGAGTTTTCCATTAGAATATTTGAGATTATAACCTATGCACATATTTAATACTTGAGGCCAAACTTTTAGGGCTGTCTCTATCTAATTAATTTTTATTTTTGATCTTAGGTAGCGTAATGGAAAGCAATCTAATCTCCTCTTTAAACTTAGGACTTTCTTCCACTAACCGGAATGTTGACAATGGCATTAATAAAAATGGCACTTATGAAGAGGAC